AAAAAACTGGAAATTAGACCATTTAATTAAAGCAATAAATAAGAGGAAATTGCAGAGAAACTTAAAATTTAATTGCTGTCATTCACCAATTAAAAGAGAACAAACAACAAGGCCTTACAACTGGCAGTGGCATCGGCTGAAATATTGGCCTAGTTGGGGAAACAAATTCACTGGGGCCCCATCCTGGTCTCAACCAAAAAGGTTGATGTTGTACAAGACCATGTTGGGAAGGAATTAGCGGCACAACTCCTGGAGTCCTATAGTAAAGTGGAGGATAACCACTAGAGCTTAGGGCAGGGCCTGGGCCCACCAAGCCAGCCATTTTTTGGAAATGATGATACTGCAATTGTGCTTGTCTTTCTTCATTCCTTTGAGCAAATGCAACATATAGAGGTTTCCCATGGAACATGTTTCCTGAATGAAATGCATGCAGCTTGTTTTTGTTTGTCAAGCACAAGATATGACTAACATAATTTGGAAGATTGAATTACCATGAAGGTTATTCAACGCTTTGGTAGCTTCCCCTAAAGTGGTATAACAAACAAAACCAAAACCTTTACTGGATCCTTTCTCATCACGCATAACTTTTGCTGAGATAACAGTGCCACATTTACTGAAATACTCCGACAGAGCACTGTCATCAACACTATCATCAAGATTCTTAACATATAGATTTGTATCCTGAAGAAGGATGAGAGTACCATAAATTGCTCTAATAGAACAAAAAGAGAGCAATAAAAAGGTAAATAAAAAATGAATTACCCAATTGAATCTAATATGTTCACTCGTATGCTGCAAATTTTGTTGTAGCTCTTCCTTCCTTTGGGCCCTTGCAACAAATAGTGTCTTTGATCCTAAACAGAAAAAAATTCATAGGCAACAAACAATCAATCACAACTTTATATCATGTGACAGCACAAGAAACATGATTTTGATTATCAGCAGAAATGTGAGGAAGTGAGAGCAGACCCAGCTTAAGTCCATTCATTGCCTCCATTGCCTTTTCAGCACTCTCCTGGTTTTCAAAGTTCACAAACCCATATCCTTTCGAGTTTCCAGCTTCATCCTTTGCAAGCTTCACATTAGCAACTTCTCCAAACTCAGAAAATTTCAGTTCAATAAGTTCTTCTGTTATATCCTCATCCAAGTTTTTCACGAATAGGCTGTTGTACATGGTTTCAGGATTGGGCAGAATTCGCTCACTCTTTTTGATGAAGTTACTGACATAGCTGCATTATTGCGAACATTAATGGGAAGGAACATTTATTTTGCAAACAGGAACAATGCTAAAATGAAAGCATTGAAATATGAAAATGGTTGGTGAAGATAAAAGAAATGCAATAATTACATACATTTGCTTGCCATCAACAAATGTACCATGGAGATTCTCTATGGCAGCATTAGCAGAATCTTGTGAATCAAACTGTACAAAGCCATATCCTTTGCTCTTTCCATCTTGAATAGCCATTTTGCTGGACAAGATAGTCCCGAATTTCCCAAACATGGCTTCAAGTTCCAAATCGTTAACGCTTTCACTTAGGTTCTAAATACAACACGCAAAACCAATATCAAAATCCACACCACTTTCAAAATAGTTAATCATTAATCAGAGAACAGCTTGATAGGATATGATTCATAAACATACTTTCACAAATACATTTCCAATCCCGCTGCTCCTAGTATCTGCATTTCTGTTTGCCTGCATAATCCTAATTGGCTTCCCAAACAACTCATTGTGGTTGAGTTTCTCAATAGCATTTATTGCTGCCAGAAAACAAAAAATAATCTTAACTGAATCAATCAAAGAAAACATAGAAATAATGTAAAGTAAGACTTGGGGTTGTTTGGCAGCTTTTGGGATTTAACTCGTGGGTTTACTAAATCCTACAAATACGAAGTTATTAAATCATGGGGTGGTTAAATCTCAGAAAATATTTGACTTGATGCTTTTTAAATTAGATTTCGTTTGATAACTTCCTTCAGTATTTAATTATGTTAGTTCGATTTATTTTATTTTTTATCATTTATAATTAAAGTATACTTAATCGAATTACAATTAGCATAACATAATATTTAAGCTAATCATGATTAATCGTCAATTAATTAGGAAATTGATTAATAGCTTATAAGCTATTTACCAAATTAATCAATCATCAATTATAATTTCATGAGCCGAATTAATTAATGATTAGTAATTACTACTTATTAATTAACAATTGATTAGTTTTAACTAAGCTGATTAATCATTAATTAGAATTTTAATAACATAACTAATCATTTAAGAATTCATAAATGTAATTCAACAAAAGAGTAATTATTATTTAATTAATACAGATTATTAAATCAATTTAAAAATTAAAATTTAGGCCTCGTTTGGAATAATGTTTCTATTCTCTTCCGTTCAGCAGAGAGTTGAGAAAAGTAAAACTAATGTATGGCTCAAAAACTCCTAAAAAATTTCAGTTGGAACTTCAATTTTGGCCTGTTTCAGATCAAGAATTCTCTATCGCTTTTGCAGGCCATTCCGTTGTCTGGTAATTGGAAATTTTAAATTTACCCTAAGCACGCTTTTTCTTCGATCGCCCTCTCATCCAATTATCAATACAGCATTGGAACCTCAAGGTCATTCAAATTCAAGTGTAGATTCAGAAAAGTAAATACAGCATTGGAACCTCAAGGTCATTCAAATTCAGGGTCCGGGCCGGCTGCAGGGGTCGACCCACGACCCGCGTTTAGTGTAAAAACCCAAACGCAGTTTCGGATAAGCTGGCGAAACGCGCGAACTAAACGGTACGACTGCGTTTTCAAAACGCCGCATACGCTTATAAGCTGCCCCAAACAGACACTAAGTGTAGATTCAGAAAAGTGAAATTCATCATGAAAACTTTGTAGATTCAGAAAAGCTACACTTAAAAGTTCAATTAGAGCATTTACAATTGAAATTAGCCATAACAAAAGTTTTTAAAATATCTCAAAAACTTTCGTTTTTTGTCAAATGCTGGCTGAGACCAGAAAATCAATCATATATCATTTTATTGATAGTTTAATTAGATCGATTTTGATATTGTATGTTTCGATAACAATAACTGCATATGCATTTTTAGGCTTGAAGATTATCAATAAAAAATTACAGGATAGAATGAAAAATAATTTTCCTCAGAGTTCACTGATAACATATATTGAAAATGATGTTGTAATGAGTATTGATTTGTAATCAATGATTAATGGTTTCGATGTCATCTAAAAACGTCAGACATAATTCAAGATATTTAGTCATTAGAGCTAGATTAGAACAGATTCTTTTTATTTAATAAGTTGTTATCAATAAAAAATTTCAATTCGTTTTATTTATTTATTTATTCTGTTTTATTATTACGATTTGCCTTGACATCCCTCTTTTCTTCTTTTTTTGTTTTTGGCTTAATGTTAAGGTGGCCTTTGGGTATTTTCACCCAAGCGAACCATGTAAAATCATCATCATCTGATTGGAATTCAGTGAGCTTGAAAAACTTTGGAGTTCCAATTAGATGAAAGGAAATTTGTCAGGAACATTTACATACATAGCATGGAATTTACATGCTCATCTTGATACATTAGTTTACACATGTTGCTACTAAATTTGAGTTGATTGGCTATCTTAATAATAATAATAATAATAATAATAATAATTTTTATCATAATGATATGTGGAACTTGTGTCTTATATTTTTAATAACAAAAATGTCACTTGTCGATGTCATGTCATACCCATGTCTCCACATCCATATCCCTGCAACATAGAATTTCAGTGTTAACTTACAAATATGTTGTTTCGATTGTTTGATATGTAAATATAAAGGATATACATAGGTTCTATGTCTGTAAATCACTCTATCTTTTTAATAAAAAAAAAATTAAGATCTGCCATTTATGAAGAGTATTTCAGTCTTTTTATGAAAAAACTACCACTATTAGCTTAATCAAATATGTATTTAACATTTAGTTTTTTCAAAAAATCACCAAAAGTGCATGTTTTTCTACCTAAAAATCGGGATTTAGAAATCTTATCACTCTGTTATGAAACAGCCCTTTTGAATCAAGCAATCATGGCAAGGAGTCATATGCATATAGGAGAATCAGCAGTGTGGATTATTCAGTGACTAGCGATTCATTGGAATCTCAGACAAAGGAAAGATAGACAAAACAATGGCAAAAACAAACAAACAATCAGCATTAATAGAATGAAAGTACGTCATGGTCTTACCATCCTGCTCGAACATATAATTGACATAACCGTAGCCGAGCGAGCGCCCGGAATCCCTATCCTTGCAGACACGAACAGAGGTGACAGTACCAACGGTGGAAAAGAGCTCAAAAAGGTTCGATTCAGCGACGTCGGGGTGCAGCTCCCCCACGTACAACGCAGGAGCCATTCCCACCAGGGTTAGGGTCTCTCCCGATGATTGAGATTGAGGGAAGGGATCAGGGCAGTCGCTCATGGAGCTCTGCTGCGCAGAAGTTCAGTATGCATTTGTGCGTTTCTGGGCTTCCGGTTGTGAAGTTCTAATTACGGATTCAGTTCTGCTTACACAACGCCGTAACGGCTGGTGCCTTTTGAGACGAATTTGCCGCTTTGGGTTCGCTTATCAGACTTTTTCAAATCTTTAACGGTCATTTACATACGTATTAAAACTTAAATTTTTATCTTATGCCGCCTATATCTTTCATATAACATGAAAACACCATCATTTTTTCAAAGAAAATATTACTCTATACTAATCTTACAATTACAATAACTTTAGATGAGATTGTCATATGGCACATATCTTTATTGAAGCCCTAAATTTTCATGGAGAAAGAGTAAAAGATGAAAGAAATTTTTAAAAAATTTTCATGTATTGTTCTTGATATATAGATGTCACATTTGATAAGAATTGTTAGGGTTGTAATCGAGCAAAGTCAAGCCGAGTATATCGTAGATTTAACTTATTTAGGTCAGACTATGAGTTGTTCATGTTCGGCTCAGCCAAGCTTTCGCCAATATGTTCTAAATTAGCGTGTTTGAGGTTTTTAATATGGGCATTCATGTATATAACATTCAATTCTTACGAATTTATACACCTCGTATCAAATCTTTCATTTTCTTCAAGCATATCACCCAATTCTTTCATGTTACATCAAGAAAGCACTAATTACACTTTGATATTACAATCTATTAATTTTATGTCACATATATCATCTGTAACTTGGGTAGAGGCAAAAGTGGATGTCTTAAAAGGAATATGAACAAGGGAAATCTGTAGAAAGAGAGCCGGCGGGCTATGGCTACTAAAAGTAGCACGAGCAGTGGTCCATATATGAACAATAAGATTAAAGATATATAATATTATATCGTTAAAGTGAATTATATGACAACATATAGATGTCATATATTTATATAATGCTTAATTATTTAATATTAAAATATTTGATGGATTTAATATGCTTCATAATGATGTATTAATTATTCAATGGGGTTGATTAATAAATACATATTATTAAAATAAACATATAAGTAATTTATTCCTAAAATAATATTATTTGTTATATCAAATTATAAGAGAACCATTGTTAACTTTATTAAACATCCAGTAAGGCATTGGCAATAGGATATGTTACCGAATAAAGACTTTTATGAATTCATTTTAAATTTATACAATAAAAATTAATCTTAAATCACATAGCTGATTTTTCTTAGTACATTTTTAAAAATCTGATCATTAATGTAACATTCATGGTCCGTTTGTCGAAGCTTATTTGGGTGTTCGGCGTTTTTAAAACGCCGAAACCACGTTTGGTAACTACGTTCGAAGGAGCGGCCGGGATACGCTTGTAACTATTTACGTTATCGGCCGCGGAGAAAACTCTGTGTTCCGCGTTTTGTTGCAGCTTATTAACCGTGAGCCCTTGGTTCCTATACCGAATAAAGACTTTTATGAATTCATTTTAAATTCATACAATAAAAACTAATCTTAAATCACATAGCTGATTTTTCTTAGTCTACATTTTTAAAAATCTGATCATTAATGTAACATTTAGGGTCCGTTTGTCGCAGCTTATTTGGGTGTTCGGCGTTTTTAAAACGCTGAAACCACATTTGGTAACTGCGTTCGAAGGAGCGGTCGGGATACACACGTAACTATTTACGTTATATCGTAAGTGAATGTCGGCCGCGGAGAAAACCCCGTGTTCCAGCTTATTACCCGTGAGCCCCTGGTTCCCGTTTTTGTTTCCGCATCGGTGCCCTTGCCTTGCGATTGATTTTCCGCATCGATATCATTTCTCGCCCCTCTATCCCGTCTACCCTTCTCCTCTCCCAATCCCGTCTATGGCCTGGTGTCGTTCCCCCGAGATCTTGTGCATTTGAAACAAATTTCGCAGGTATTCTCTCTGTATTGCACGAGTTACCTATGGTATTGCACAGGCTTTTTTTTCCTTCTCTGCGAAATTTGTTTCAGCGATTTTTGGTTTTGGTATGCCCTTTTCCTACTGGGTTTTCGTTAACCTTACTGTCTTTGCAACCGTAAGAAATGCACATTGATAAATTGTTGGGTGAATGCATTTAAATGCGGTTTTGAGAAGATGGCTATGAACTTTGAGAAATGCAGTTAACTGTGAGATTTGGTATCAAGGGATGTGAAGGTGCTTTTCATATTGCTAGTCAGGGAGATGAGGGTACCGGCCCCCCATGCTATTGAGATAGGTAAAAATGATGAAAGTATATGTTTGATTAAAGGGTTTAATTCTTAGGATGATGTGGTGGAAAATGTTGACAAAGGTAATTTGGTGGTGTTAGGAAATGTTGTTTCTTCTGCTAGTTCTAACTTCTATTTGAATAAGGGTGATTTGCCTTTGATTTAGGACAAATCTCCTTAATCTTTAGAAGTGGTTAGTAATAGATGTTTTGATAAACCTGGGAAGGATAATATAAAAATTTGTCTTGTTCTTACTTGGGCTGAGCTAGAAGAGGAGTGGTTAATTCAAAAAAAAATTGAAATGATTTAAGAGGTATTAGAGAGCGTAAATATTAAGGGTCGGCATTATGAATCTTTATTTGCCACTTATTTCATATTGAGATATGTATGGGATTTGTTCATATATAATAACGTTTATCAGTTTTCTTGAGTCTCTTTTTGCTTTGCAGCATAATGAGAAACAAAGTAAGAAATTTTTATTGATGTGGACACTCTTGTGAATCATTCTATGGTCATATAGCTCTGTTGCAAATAGCTTCACTAAATAGGGGCAAAATGGTCATTTATCCAACAACAGCTGTCAAAAAGCTGTTCTGCATAAGCTTCTCCAAAGAGCAAGTCAGCTTATCATGATTATCATATTATCAGATAATCTGTTTATCAGCAAATTATATATAATCTGCAGCTGCCCCAAACAGACCCTCAATCAAATTTTGTAAAATATCATCAAGCATGTAAGTCATTGCTTTATTGGCATATTATTTCAATATTAAAAAAACATGGAATTTGCGTGAATAGCACATAGTACTTGTGTTTTTTAATATCTAACTACTAAATTTTAATATTTATGTAATAGCAACTAAAATGTTTTTTTGGCATCCATGTTTAATGCCATTCGCACTCGACATCTTTCCGTGTGATAAGGGATTACGTCGTGTTAGTTCGTATTGTCTCATTGCTAAGATAGTTCGGAGAATCTTTAGCGAGCATATCTAATTAGAGATCTTGGGGTCTGATCACGTTTTGCTCTTGTCCAGAAGCAGCCACTAGTGGTCGATATCGTTACCAGATAAGAGGTGATTCCAAAGGCCATTATGGTCCCTAGATGTCATAGTTCATTCATTTAGGACTCTTTGTGGCTCGAATGGATCCTAAGTCCTCTTGGCAAAATCTTGAACGTCAAAAAAGGTCCTAGGGGCCCGGCGTGACAACCCTCAGAATGGGCGTGACCACACCTCGCCCTTGGCATGAACACGACTGAAACCGGGTGTGAACTCGCAGAAGCTCCAAAAGAACGTGTGCCAAGGTCGCGACACTCTATAACTGGAGTGGCCACGCCAACCTAACATAGCCCCCAACGTAATTACGTTAGGGGTACGGTTGTGATTGTTGACATCAATTTGTAATGTCACGCGTGCAGGATACCCGCTCGAGCGCTATGAAATATTACATTATGCACGTGTTGATTCCCGTGGTGCAAGACATCTATTTAAAACTCATTGGTGTGTGTTAAGGAGCGTGTTGCCGAGGTTGCTCTGCTAGGCTTTGACTTTCGCCTAGGAGAGACGGGGTGCATTTATTTGTTAAACGACTATGACCGAAGGATAAATTTTATGTGGGAATATATGCTTCCTGGATGGCTATCATTAAGGCAAAGGCCAATCAGCATTTTTTTCTGTCAGATGATTTCAATTGGACCAACGAGCCCCACTTACCGCATCACATGTGAAAAAGACTTAAATTAACTCATTTATCGATGAATTTGACAAGATAAACGAATGACTAAACGAACTTCACAAGTTTGTCTGGAAAGTCCATTTTACCCAGGAGGACATCCATAATGGTGGGTTCCGTGCTAAATCAATGCATTTGATAATTGAAAATGGGTTTAAAATAATGGTGGGTTCCGTGCTAAATCAATGCATTTGATTATTGAAAACCTATAAATAGTTTTAATATAAAAACCATTTTTTCCCTCATGCCGCTCACTCAGATTCTCCCCCGACTCTTGCCCTCTCCCGTTCGCACACCGCCTCGCGCGCCGGAGCCGGTGGATCGACCTAGCCTCCGGTGAGTCCTCCCCCCGCTTTCCCTCCTTGGTGTTGCACGAGGCGCCATGTGCAAAGCACCCATCCGACAACGCATCTCCCTCACACGCCGCCGAGCCCCGCTCGACTTCGGTCCCTCATCGCCGCACCTCCTCCGACGGCAGCCTGCCCCGCCGGCGAAGATTCCATCCTCCACGGGAAGATGATCGAAAGCCCTATGGGGGAGGGCCCTTTTCGCGAAACCATCTAGATTTCGTCCGAAACCGTCGGATGCGTGCCGCCGACAACCTTCGTCGGCCTCGAGCCTACTGCCGACTCCCTTTGGGCTGCCCCCCGACGCAAGCAAGGTACACGCTATGCCTCCCCTCTCGCAGTCGAACAACCGCCGCCGAAGTTTTGCTGGCGTCACCTCGGCCGACGTCGGCCTTTTCTCAAGGGTCGTCACCGGCATCCCGAGCTCTTCCTTCCTCTCTCCAGCAGATGCTTCTGGCGGCTATACTTCTCGCTGGCCGATGCTCTGTTTGGTCAGCTAGCTCTCCCTTGAGGCTGGCGAGTGAGCCTCCGACGTCCTTGCTGCCTCCCTCTCATCAAAGCTCCGACCACTGGCTGGGCGACCACCGCATTGTGGCATATAGGGACCTGGTGTCCAACCCCTACGTGCCGGTCATATTTTCGAATCTCGTGATATTCATTTCAGATACTTGTCACATCATTGCTGTCCTCCTTCATTTGCTTGCCTTGTCATGCGATGCATGTGTTGCGAGATACAACCATGCGTGGTACCGATGTCGATAGCTTGGTGCAAAAGGCGAGGACGTCTGCATTCATCGT